CACTTTCTGGGCCCTATTATCTTAAGAAGTACACTTAAGACTAGAAAAATGTTTATTGATTGATTGACTAAAACAGCTGTAAGTTAATAATAAATACCCACCATGTGCCAGACACAGTGTTAATTGCCAAGAATGCAAAAGAAACAAAAGATAGTTCCTGCCCTCAAGGAGCTTACAATGTGATGGAAGAGACATCAAGACAAGAGGAGGACATTAAATAAGACAAGACATAAACAAAGATGTGAACAGGATCCTAGGAATCATCTAGTCCAATGCTGCTATTTTACAAATGATGAAATTGGGGCACAAAGAAATGACATAATTTGCCCAAAGCCTAGAATGGGAGGTCTCTTCTCCTTCTCCTTCTTCTTCGCCTTCTCCCTCTCCTTCTTCTTTGCCTTCTCCCTCTCCTTCTTCTTCTATAAGAAGTTTTATATGAAATGATGAGGGGGTTGGTTTCAGAAAAATATGGCAAAACCTATAGGAACTGACGCAAAATGAAGTGAGAAGAGCCAGGAGATCATTGGGCATAGTAACAGTAATGTTGTAACAATGATCAACTGTGAAACGCTCGGCTACTCTGATCAATACAATGATCCAAAACAATTCTGAAAGACTCAATGAAAAAAAATGGCTTCCACCTCCAGAGAAAGAATTGATGAACTCTGAGTGTGAAGTATAATTTTCTCACTTTATTTTTTTTGCAATATGGAAATATATTTTGTGTAATTTCACATGTATAATTAATATAATTTTACTTGCCTTCTCAGTAGGTGGTGAGGTGTGGGAGGGAGGGAGAGAGAGAATTTAGAATTCAAATGAAAAAGAAAAGGATGTTAAAAATAAATAATAATTTTTTAAAAGTAGCTGGGAGCCAGATTGAGGACAGCCTTAAATGCCAGACTGAGGATTTTGAGTTATTTCCAAGAGTTACTAGGGGAATTTGAAGATTTTTTAGAAACAGAATGGTGTGGTCAGATACCTGTTTTTGGAATATGAATTTGGCAGCCAAGAGCAGCATAGATTGAAGAAGGGGAGAAGTCTGGAGTAGGGAATTGCTGTTGTTCAGTCATTTAATTCTTGTTTGAATCTTCATGACCCCATCTGGAGTTTTCTTGGCAAAGATATTGGAATGGTTTGCCATTTCCTTTTCCAGCTCATTTTAGAGATTAGGAAATTGAGGCAAGCATGGTTAGTGACTTGCCCAGGGCCAAGTGACTTCTTAGTGTCTGAGATTTGAACTCAGGAAGATGAGTCTTCCTGACTCCAAGGCCCACCAGCACTCTATCCACAGTGCCACCTAGCTGTCACTGAAGCAGAGAGACTAGAGACAATTAGGAAACTACTTCAATAGTCTAGCAGAGATTTTATGAACTAAGGTGGAGGCTGATTAGAGAGAATGAGTATTCAGAATAGATGTTACAGAGGTAGAATCAGTAAGACTTGGCAACTGATTAGATATGAAAGAGGAGGGGAATGGATGAGAGAGAAGAAAGAGTCAAGAGTTGAGAATTGCTCTAAGTTTGTAAACCGTGCTCTGTCCTTTCAACTTAGGACTATATTATATAATGTCTTTTAAACATTCATCCATTTTCACAAATAATTTTAAATAATCAACTTTATTAATATGAATGTTAAAAACATCAACACACATGCAAACCTCTTACAAGGAATAAAAAAAAAGAAATGAACACATAACTGTGAATTTCCATTATGTATAGCCTTTTAAATAGTATACTTAAATTTTCACATGTTGGTCCCAACACTGCTTGTCTGCATCTTCTTCTGAACTTCCATCTGCTCTTTTCTGAGTTTTTTTTAATGGTTCACAAATGCTCTTTTCTCTGTTCTTCCTTTTTTTTTTTTTTTGGTATCATTATCTCTATCCTCCCCTACTTCCCTGATAGCTCTGCTACCTACCTCCCAAAATGAAAGGTCTCCACTGAAACAAATAAGCAGAGCTAAGCTAAACAAATCCATACACTGGCTTTCTGAAAATGTATGACTCACTTTACACCTCCAGTCCATTATACCTCTGCCAAGAGGTAAGAAGTGTGACCAGCCTTCTAGGGTCATGACTATTATTTTGCTTTTGGCTTTATTTGGCTTTTTATGTTTTTCACAGTTGTTTTACTTTGTAATGTTGTAGTTGTAAAAATTGTTCTCTTTGTTCTACAGACTTCACTATGCATCACTTAATACAAGATGTCTCAAGTTTCTCTGAATCTGGCCCTTTCATCATTTATTTTATGGCATGATAACATTCCATTATATACATATACCATAATTTCATCTCTCATTCCCCAGTTAATGGACACTCACTTTATTTCCAGTTTCTTGCTACTACAAATTAAATATTTTGTACATATAGGCCCTTTATCTGAATCTTTGACCTCATTGATGTATATTGCAGATCAAAGGGTATATAGTTTGATGACATTGGGGGTATAACTTCACATTGTTGTATTCTGTTTTCTAATTTGCTCTGCTATCTTCCTCCATTTTATGGACAAATTTGTCTCATTCATGTTCACTATTATGGTTTTTAATTTAATATTTCCTTCACTCATTACCCCCTTGTATTTTATTTTCTCTTTGTCCCTTGTAATCCTTTTTACAAAGAAAAAGATGATAAAAAAGATAAGGAATATGATCAAATTGAACCAGCTATAATTGAAGGGGTATGTTCCTATATATGTGTATGTGTATGTGTGTGTATGTTCCTATACATCCTATCCAAGCCCAGAACCTGATCTGATTTTAGTACTTTCTCTCTTTTATCTCCTTACCACTTTTATGATTCATTCTTCTGTAGTTGAAATTTACTTTGCTTTTGTCTATTTTATCCCTCATTCTATCCTTTCTCTTATATTACTATCTCCCTGTGCCTTTCTATTGCCCTGTTGAGTATAACACATTCTACACCAAAATCTTTGTGTGTGTGTTCAACAATCCTTTGTTTTCTACTGAAGGGGTGACATTTATGAGCTGCCTATTTCTCTCATTCCATTCTTTGTGTTTGCTTACCCTTCTCCTAAAGGATTTATGCAAAATAGTAAGCTCCTCCCCCTTTATTTCTCTTAGTGATTTCCTTTTCCCCTACTTTTTATTTTTTCTCTTCAAACAAACAAACAAGACCAACTATACTTATTTTGCCCTGTGTTTTTCTTGGTTAACTATATGACCCTTGAAGGCAACAGTATTCCGAAGGGACAGTTCTCTCCTTGATCAATTTTTGGGGTCAGTTTTTTTTAACAATAAGTACCCAGTATTTTCTTTTCTTCAATGTTTACACTTTGATCCCATAATTCTTACTGTCTCCTAGGGTCATTGAGATCTCTTTACCCTGTTTGTTATTTTTTCAGGAAGACCAATTCTTGGTTAAGTATTTTTACATTCTACTCTAAGTTGTTCATTCTTTTTTATTTATTTTTCACCCAAGATTTATGTTTTATTCGTAATTCTAGTTTTTATATCTTGCTGTATTTCTTCCAGCCACTCTTGTAGTTCTTGTAGCCAAACAAGTGTTTTCGTGAAAGGTTTTTTTTGTAGATTTTGTGGATTGTCTCTCTTCTGTTTTCTTCTTGGACTTTTCTTAATTTGTAGAGCTTCTCCATTTGTTGGTGTCTTCTTATACTTATATATATATATCCAGCCTCAGTTGTTCGATGGGACTTTGTGCTCTAGCCACTCTCCTTGAACACTTGTGGATGAGATGCTTAGTCCCTCTTTGGTCCACTTCTTCTGACATCATAGATGAGGTGACTATTGCTAGGCCTCACCCTCTTTCCAATCCTGGCTTCTATCTCAGATTCCTGGTAGAACACTGTGGGTTCTTGGAAGTTGGCTCTTTCTTTCTCCTGTAATGCCCATGACTAACCCCAGAGGGGTGTTAGAGATCATGCTGGTCTCAAGCTTCCTGTAAGATTCCCTGCAAGAGCAGTTGCAGATAAACTACAAATACAAATCATTCTTTTTTATTCAATAAAGTAGATGTTCAGAATATTCAGAACCTCAAGAGAGTTCATCTTGAGAACATTGCTAAAGAATAGTCATTTACCCTAGAACAAAGTTGAAATGAGAGCTTCCTATATCCAATTTCTCCTTGCTATCCCTTCTCAAAGTTGCCCTCTCCTATGCAAAAATTGATTCTTCTGTTCTTACGCCTTCTCTAAGTTTTTCAGGTCAAATTTTTTTCTAAGGAAGGATTCTGAGAAATTTATATGAAGATGTAAATTTGGCTTAGTGGGGGAAAAAACCCTTCAGTTTTTCTCTTAACCCTACCATTTATAGCTAGGTAACTTAGACTCTCTCAGCCCTTTTTCATTCATCTAAAAAATAAAGGACTAAAGCTAAGTTGTATCTAAGGTCCTTTACACTTATAAAATTCTCCAAGTATAAGTATATAAGCTGCCTCTTGAATTTTAATAGGGAACAACATCCCCATTTTATTTAAGGCAGAAAGATGATGTAATTTAAGAACGAAAGCCCTATGTAATAAAAGTTTGGCAGAGTTCATAGAGCGGTAGAGAGAGACCTTACCAGAACTCGAGAAATCACATCATATTATTAGACATTGGACTTAGACACTCAGCCTATTCAAGAGAACAGCCTGGTTGAAGACAGGTGACATGACTGGTATAGTGGAGAGAACACTGGGTCAGGACTCAGGAGAAGTAGCAGATTCTAGATCTGACTCTGTCATTAGCTAGAAGCTCAGCCCTAGGCACATGACTTCTCTTCTCTGGATCTCACCTTCAAATGGGGGAAGTAGAGGAAGAAATGGGAAGTTGGATTGGAGGATTCTAAGTCCTTTCAGTTCTGACATTCTTTGGTAACTCTATGGTATTTCTGAGCTACTATACATGATTGTCTAAAGGCACATGATAGACAATTATTGACTCCTAGATTGAGACAGAAGAGGGACATTTATCCTGCCACATTCATCAGTTATCTTCACCAGAGTAGAATCATGGGAAAATCATGGGAAAATGTATCACTTAAGCACATGCAGGGAACAAACTGAGGGTAGATGAGTCTGGGTGGAAGATCATTCCAGTCACAATTATTTTAAATGCCTTACGAAACCAAGGATAAAACATCCCATAAATGATTGGATTGAAGGTAGAATTGAAGTAGCCCAACCAGAGGAAGGCATTGTATAGATCCTCAGGGGTAGTAAAGTTAATGAAAGGATCTATGATAGTGAGGACAAAAAATGGCAGCCAACACAGAACAAAAACCCCCATGACTATACTCAAAGTTCTGGTGGCCTTGCTTTCTTTCTTAGATGAGGGTTTTGTTTTGGCTTCTCTATTCTTCATATTTGGAAGGGTATCAATCTGCTTGGCATGTTTCTTAGCTACATAAAATACGTGTATGTAAATACCAACCATTACTGTACCAGGGAGAAAGAAAGCAATGAAGGAGGCCAGAACTCCCCAGAGTTTGTTAAACATTAACACACATAGACCTTCACAGTCAATTGCTGCTACAAACTCTTCAGCACCAATGATGTTTAACTCTGAAAATACAAGACCAAAGGCAAAGAAGATTGGAATGGACCAGCTGATGAACAAAAAGACCTGGATCACTGAGTTGGTGATTTTGGTGACATAGCGTAAGGGGTCACACACTGCATAGTAGCGGTCCACTGAGACAAAACACAAATGGAAAATGGAAGTGGTACAAAGCATGATGTCACAACAACTGTGTACTCTACAAAAGAGCCTTCCAAAATACCAGCAAGCCTCAATGGATCTGACCATGCTGAAGGGCATCACCACACAACCGAGCAAAAAGTCTGTTGTTGCCATGGAGAGGATCAGGAAGTTGGTTGGAGAGTGAAGCTGCTTGAAGTGGGAGATAGAGATGATGACCACCAAGTTTCCAAGCATCGTCATCATTATGGCACCTATTATGACCATATACATGACCCAAATACTAATTGCAGGTCTTACATGTCTAGGGCAAGAATTGTTAACAAATTCAAAACAATATTTCACTTCTGGTGGGTTCCAGAGGTCAGAAGAATTCATTGTCCAAATCCTAAGGAATAGTTTCCTTTTCAAAATTGCAGCAGGTCTTCTATTTCTGAGGGGAAAAGGGTCAAGGTGGGAGTGGGTTGGGAGAGCAAACATCACAGAAATGTAATTTAATCATAGAGGATGAGAATATTGCTGGCATTTCCAAACCCATTTGAGCCTTACTGTCTACCAGAATAGTCAACTCCAAAATGACAGTCAAATTCAACATTAGTCACACAGTTTATGCTACCTGGGTAATTCTGGCAGGAAAGAAAGAAAGAAGGAAAGAAAGAAAGAAAGAAAGAAAGAAAGAAAGAAAGAAAGAAAGAAAGAAAGAAAGAAAGAAAGAAAGAAAGAAAGAAAGAAAGAAAGAAAGAAAGAAAGAAAGAAAGAAGGAAGGAAAGAAGGAAAGAAAGAAAGAAAGAAAGAAAGAAAGAAAGAAAGAAAGAAAGAAAGAAAGAAAGAAAGAAAGAAAGAAAGAAGGAAAGAAAGAAAGAAAGAAGGAAGGAAAGAAGGAAGGAAGGAAGGAAGGAAGGAAGGAAGGAAGGAAGGAAGGAAGGAAGGAAGGAAGAGAAAGAAAGAAAAGAGAAAATCATCAAAATGATCATAAAAAAAGTCTGAAAATGTATGCAATATATCATAGACATGAATCTCTTTTGCTGCAAAGAAGTAAGGTAGAGGTATCTTCTCATATCTTATCTTTGGGGCTACGGTTATTTTTGTATTTTCACAACATCCAATTTGATTGTTTTGTGGTGATTTACATTGTTGTAATCATTGTATATATTGTTTTCTAGACTCTGCTTACTTCATTTTGCTTCAGTTCATTTAATTCTTTGCATGCTTCTCTGTAGTCATTACTTTTGTCTTTTCTTAAAGCACGGTAATATCCCATTGCATTTATGTACTATAACTTGTCTATCCATTCCCCAATTAATAGACACTTGCTTTGTTTCTAACTCATTGTTATTACAAAAAGTGCTGATATAAATATTTTGCTGTATATGGGGATATTCTTCTTATTAGTGGTCTCTTTGGGCATAATGATAGTAATAGACTCTATGGGGCAAGTTGATTGAGCACTTTAATAATTGTATTTACAAAATTCCAAATTTCTTTCCAAAATAGTTATACTGATTCATAGCTTCATCAACCAATGCATTAGTGTGCCTATTTTCCCACCACCCCTCTAACATTGAATATCCTCATCTTTTGTCATCTTTGCTGGATGTAAGGTAAAACCTCAGGGTTATTTTGATTTCTTCACTTATTTAGTTATTTGGAGCTTTCTTTAATTTTTTGTTAATAGTTTTCAATTTGTCTTTTAAGATTAAGTTGTTCATATGCATTGGCCTGTTACTTTTTATAGATTGGCTTTTGGCAATATGTGTGTGTATGTATGTGTAGAAAGAGAGACAGAGACAGAGAGACAGAGATAAGTAGATAAAAATAAAATAGAAAGACAGATAGACATATGTATGTATATTCATGTTAATTGTCTGTATTTTGGATAACAAACCTTGTCAAAGATATTTAATACAAAGACTATTCCTCCATTCAACTGCTTTCCTTTTTATTTTAGATGTATTAATTTTGTTTCTGCATGAGCTTTTCAGTTTTGTGTAATCAAAATTTTCTTTTATCTTTTGTATTTGGCTCTCTCCATTGTTTGAATATATTAATATATTTCTCACTGATAGGTGGAAAAGGTATGTGAACTGCTTCTTTTCTAAATATTTTAATGGTATGGTCTTCAATATTAAGATCCCGTATCAATTTAAAATTTACTTTGGAATGTGGCACAAGAAGTTGGTCTAAGTCACCTCTCTCAAAGTACTTTCCAACTTTCTCAGCAGTTCTCTATCAAATAGAGAGTTCTTTCCCAAGTAATTTGTTTTCTGGTTTAGCAACACTGTATTATTGCATTCCACTCACTTCTGATTCTTCTTTGTTTAATCTGTCCTATTAATCTAATTTTCTGTTTTTAAACCAATGTTAAGTTGTTTTGATGACTATTGCTTTGTAATATAGATTGACATCTAGAAGTGCTATTCCCTCTTTGCCTCTCTATCTTTTCATTATTTCCCTTAGATCTTTTATTTCTTCAAATGATTTGTTTTATTATTTTATCAAGTTCTGTAAGGTAGTGATGCCAAATTCAAATACAAACTCTATACGTAAGAATCTCCATGGACCACATATTTATTTAGTTTTAATATTATTCATGTTTATTACATTTTTGTTTATTTTGTTAAACATTTCCCAATTACATTTTAATCTGGTCTGGGAAGCACTTGGGAGTATTGTAGATGGCACGCAGCCTGTGGTCAGCGTGTTTGACACTTTAGCAATAAAAAATCCTTTTGATAGTTTGATTGAGGCAGCAATACAGCTCTAAATTATTTTTGTTAGTATTGTCATTTTTATCATATTGGCATGGTCCAGCCATGAAGACCAAATATTACTCCAGTCATTTAAATTATTCTTTATTTCTTTTAGGAGAACTTCGCAACTGAAATGAAATAAGCATTTTGTGTGTGTTGTCAGACTGATCCCCAAGCACTTTATGCTTTTTATACTTATTTGGAGTGGAATTCATCTTTGTATTATTGCCTATTAGATTTTATTATTATATAGAAATGCTGTTGATTTTTGTGGGTTTATTTTGTAAATTGTCATATTGCTGAAAAAATTGCCTCAGTATATTCATGGATTGTTGTTGTGGTGGTTGTTGTTTTTTAACCATTGTATCAAGAGCAAATAGTTTTATCTTCTCTTTACCTACCTGTATGCTTTTAATTTTTTTCTTATATTATTGCAATAGTTAGCATTTCCGGAACTACATTAAATAACAGTAGGGAGAGTTTATTCCCATATTTATTGGGAATACTTCCAATATATCTCCATTGCATATGATGCTTTCTTTTGATTTTAGATAGATATTTTTGATTATATTAAAAAGATACCTAAGTGCCTATTTTTGCAGATATTTTAGCATAAATAAGTGTTGTACTTTGTCAGAGGATTCTTTTGCAACTAAGATAATCATGTGGTTAGGATGTTTTTGTTTTTATTATGATCAATCATATTGTTTATTTCTGTAATGCTGAATGATTCTTGAATCCCTGGTATGAATCCAACTTGGTTATAATGATTTCTTGGATGAATTTCTCTAGTCTGTTTAACAGAATTTTTTTTTAATTTTGAATCAATGTTCATTAATGATATTGGTTTATAGTCCTTCTGTGTTTTATCCTTCCCTGGTTTATATACTAAATCTATATTTTCCCATAAAAAGAGTCTGATAGAGCCCTTTGTTTCTTAGTTTTAAGAGTAATTTATGTGTTATTAGTACCTCAATATCTTAAAAATTATCAGAAGGCCCATGACTCCACTTGTTGTTGTTCAGTTATTTCAGTTGTATCTGACTCTTCACGACCCCATTTGGGGTTTTCTTGGCAAAGATACTGGACTGGTTTGCCATTTCCTTCTCCAGTTCATTTTATAGATAAGGAAACTGAGGCAAACAAGGTTAAGTGACTTGCCCAGGGACACACAGCTTGTGTCTGAGGCCATAATTGAACTCAGGAAGTCTTCCTGACTCCAGGCCCAGCACACTATTCACTGTACCACCTAGCTGCCCATGATTCCAATGCTAGCAATTAACTTTAAGATATTGCCTTCTGAAAATTATGGAGTTATAGGGTATGAAGGAATAAGGTGGTCAGGTAACTACAGCTTTTTAAAAGTGAATTTTGTGTGTGTGTGTTTTTGGTTTTTTTTTTTTTGGTGAGGCGGTTGGGTTTAAGTGACTTGCCCAGAGTCACACAGCTAGTGAGTGTTATGTGTCTGAGGACAGATTTGAACTCAGGTCCTCCTGACTCCAGTGCCAGTGTTCTATCCACTGTGTCACCTAGCTGCCCCTAAAAGTGAATTTTTAAAAAGATCTATTAAATCAGTCAGACAAAATCTGGTGATGTTTTTGTCCTTTGGAACTCCTTGTTTTGAAAACTTAGAAGTCTGAGAGAAATATGGTACTGTAATGATGCAAAGTGGTTTTTTTTAAGATAAAAATTGAATTATTAAGAAAATAAGGAAAAACCTGTCAGATAATACCTTTTATAAAGTTGGTTACCTAAATTCCTTAACAGCTAGATTTAAGACTTTCATTTTATGAACTAGGGTAATGTGAGTAAATAAAATAGGCAAAAACTTTATTCTTGATTTCTAAGAAATTCACTGGTAACAAATTTGGTGTCTAGAAGTATTTATTCTTCTTGCCTTTTAGGCAGATTTTACTACTCTATTCTTCATCTATTTTAGGGTACAGACCACTAACCTTGAAATAAGATGACTTCAGGAGTCTACCGTCATATATAGTTGGACATTGTCAAGAACAATGAGAAAGGTGGCAATCAGGAGAGTCAAATGGGATTGACAGGAAGCTAAAAGACGCAACCAACCAGCATGCCTGGGCATAGAACATACATGTATATGGAGGGAAGTAAATTGAGAAACTTCTTTTTCAAGCTCAACACCAAATGTGGTTTACCTTTGTACAAAATTGTGAGAGCCTCATTCCTGGACTTTGCTTTTCATTGATCCTTTCTGATAATGTTATAGCCCTATATCAGATTCTATTTAAGTCACAGACACTGCTGACTGTCTCTGGTCATTCAATTTTACATCTATCTTCCCAGGTTGGTGCCCATGATAATTCTCTCTATCTGCATGGGAACTTACCAGCTGACACCTATCCACCTCCCAAGTCCTCAGACCAAGGAGAAATCAATTAGTAACATGGAACCTAGTCAACCATAGATCATGGTGGATCCTCACCTTTAACCTGACCCACTCAGCACTATCTCACCATCCCTAGCTACAGAAGAATTGGTGACTGTGGAGTCCTTCAGTAGCAGTTGTTAGAAGTTCATACCCAGAACACCACACTTCAGCTGAAAGTAGACCATGAAAAGACTCAGAAAAAAAATTGTTATTGAGTCAACTTGAAA